CCACAGCTTTATATCCTGCAGAACCAGAGGAAGAGGAGGAGGAGAAAAGAGAAGGGGAGTAAAGAAATGAGGAGGAAGAGGAGAAAAGAGGAGGAGGAGTGGGGTTCATGGTAATTAGGATTAGAGGAGCCTGAGCCATCTGTGGCTGATAAACCCATCAGCTCCAGTAACAACCCCCCCCCCTCTAAACTCATCCTCTTATTATTTCACTGTATTTCATTCATGAGGTAATTAAATATATATTCATTTAATACTTAATGTCGTGAAAATACACACAATTCAAACTGAGCACATTTCTTTCACAAGATTTCAAAATAAGAGTCTGAAATTTTGTGTCAACGTTCCATGATCCGCTCACGTCCTCCGTGCGTGCATCTGACGTCATCACGTTAACAGTGGCGTCCGTCTCCCATGGCAACCACTGAGGCGCACTTGTTTCATTCGCGACAGATGGATTTTCTTCCACACAGTGAGATAACACAAATAACCAGACTGCAGGTAGGTACCTGAACGCGACACTCCGAAAATGACAGCTGTGATGAGTTAAGATGGTGCCTTCAAATGCTGGGGAATTTAAAACATCTCATGTGAGGCTTCGTAAATGTGCTTAGTAACAACTGTGTTTGTCTGTTTCATTTCAAAATGGCGGCTGTGAACTTTGGTCCTATCCAAACCTTTTTATTTTTAAATCAATATGAGCACTAATGTAAAAATATGCAAAAACAATAAAGTAAATAAATAAAAAAACATTTTTGTGCTAAGGGGAAAAATTAAAAGTAAAATAAAATCTACAGTATTTAATTCCTGTACACTTGTATCACAAACGATGCATTCGCTTGTCTCTTTTATTTCAGAGGGATGATGGCGTGCAGAGGCTCAGCTGTCACTTCTCCTGGCCTGAGTTCTGCGATGAACGCCGAAGTTTCCATCAGGAGTTTGTGTACGACATCGCCGTGTTCGCCGCCGCCCGCGGCTTCCCCTGGTCTGATGTGGTCCAGACAGCTGTGATCGCCAAAACCATCTTCCCACAACTGGATGGTTGGTTATATATATACAGCATATATATGCATCAGTGCGCTGTACTGTATGGTTTGATTTCCTCCCCCTCCGCTCAGGTCTCCTGACCTTGCTAACCTCTCTTCATCAGGTCTGGATGCACCCAAACTTTTGTCCTTGCTGAGAGGTGTGATGTCAGAGCGTTTACCGAACCTCACCCCTGTGCACCGACACGAGTTCACCCACTTCCTCGCAGAAGCCTGCCTCGCTCGGCGGAGGCTTTTCCAGGCGGTGGTGAGTGGAGCTGCCAACGTGTCCATCAATCAGCTTTGTCTGGAGGTGCAGCTGCCACCCACACCTCCTCCTCTGGCTCAGGTGATCAGTAGCTGGGGATTAGAGACGAAACAAACCCATTTGGAGTACCATGAAATCTGAAATCCAAGTATCCGCCTTGTGTACTTTATGCTTATTTGTCTCAATCGTACAGGGCACAGAGCTGCATGAGTGGGAGCACTGCTGCCAGCAAACCCAGCTCACCTCCACCCTACGACAGAAGGAGGAGCAGCTGAGGAGCCTCCGACAAGGGCCCAGGGTCACTCTGGGGGATATTCCAGAGGACGTGCACTTGGACAAAGAGGTTAACACTCAGAAAATATGAATGCATGAGCAGATAAGTCCTGAACATCTTTAGAGTGACTCTGCCGTTCTCTGCAGGGCGTCTCTGAGGTGGTTCGAGTAGCTGTGAGAGCCACTGAGGGTCAGATGCTGCAGAGTCTGGACCTGGAGGCCTCGCTGCTCAGTGACATCCTGCAGCTCAGACTGCAGCAGGCAGCCTTGGCCACCGGGGGGCTCCACAACCCTGCGCCCTCCAGTACAGGTCCAGATGCTGCAGCGAAGGGAAAAATACAAACAGCAAAAAGTAAAGCAGGAGGGAAATAATGTGGAGGAGGAAAACACTGTTAATGTTATTTAACATCACAGACTTAGAGCAGCTAATTCTACATTTATGAGCCATTATCCTGTAAGTTTTATTCATTGAACAAGGTTATTAATGGTTGTTATACATTTATTATGCTCAGAACCTGGTTAATGATCACAAGAGGATTGGCGAGTGAAGATAAATGTTAAGGTATTGCAATTAAACTTTTTTTCATTTAATTTTTGAATGAATTCAAATTGTATTTTATTGTCATTTTGACTGAATTGTTTCTTCTTCTTCTATTTTTCATATAACTAGTTTCACATGATATAATTAATAAAAAACTAAAACACTTCAACAGAGATTTAGTAATTTTTATTCATCACATTTTCCCTTTTGTTTCCTCATCTTTTACTGTTTCCTGTAATGAGTGAAACAGCGCCCCCCTGCAGCGCCTCTTGAACGTAGGGCGCCAGCCTTTGTGGCCAAACACGGCATTGCACCCTCAGCTGCGTAGACAGAGGTGACAGGTGAAGTTAAAGGAGAAGTTCGGGTGTTTTTCAACCTGGTCCTTATTTCGTAGATCTACTCACCCGTACAGGTTTGGAGTAACTTGGAGTCCTTCGGACGCTTTTAGATCCACACAACACTGTGGATCTGCAGCACGAGTCCCCCGAGTCACAGCTGCTTTGTTTACATCCTGGGCTTTCACCTGGGTGACGTCACCGAGGCGCGCCGCCGCAGGACAGGTGACGATCAGCTGTGTTTGTTTCCACGCAGTTTGCGGCTGCTAGTTTTGCGCAACATGGCCGAACACTGACCAGGTGCTTCACTGTACAGGATTCTGTTAAAGCAGCTGTGTCCCGGTGCTCGGGCGTATTCACCCGGCTAAAGGCTAGCTAACTTCAGCGGGCTAACGAGCAGCCTCGGAGCTAGCGTTAGCTTAGCGAACCGATTTGTTGATTAAACAGGAAGACAACTCGCTCTCGGTTCGCTAAGCTAACGCTAGCTCCGAGGCTGGCGAGACTCACAGGGACTAGAGCTGGAGATTCATAGTAAATAGAGAGTCTCGCGGCAGATAGTGGTTATTTAGAGGCTGTATGGTGGATGCCCCAATCACTTGTGTTGTGAAGGACTCCAACATACTCCAAACCTGTACGGGTGAGTAGATCTACAAACCACATGCTGGAAATAAGGACCAGGTTGAAAAAAACCGAACTTCTCCTTTTTAATTAAGTAACTCATCATTAAACCATTAACGATATTAACTTAATGACGTGTTTTGAATGAGTGAGCAGAAGCTGGAGAGTTTCGGGTGATGCTGATGAAATGAAGCTGACAGAGATGAAGAGAGGAGAAGACAGATGTGAACACAGCAACATGTGCAGAGACTAAAGACCAGACAACTTCTGAAACGTGAGTCAAGTTTACTTCCTGTTGGTTTGTGTTGTTGCTGAAATAATATTTATGTGACTGTGTGAAAAGTTTTGTACTGGACGTAACTTACTGATGAATTAGTTTTATTATGAGTTGTTGAACTCATTGTGTTGATTGGCAGATGCAGCTGATCAGTGTTGTTGTTGTTGTTGTTGTTGTTGTTGTGAGTCATTTGCTTTAACAACCAGCAGTAGTTGCTGGTTCTCTCATGCTTGCGTTTCTTTTGCTTGTTTCTTTAAGGAGATTTGTATTTTTAGCTCTGATCTTTGTCAGAGTCTAATCTTTGTAGTACATGTGTATTTTTGTATTTGCCGGTCAGTGACACCACATATCCAAATCCTTAGAGTATTCTAATTTAATAATTAATTTAATTCAATATTGCTGGATGTATTATTTCTCTGTGGTTCCCTACGTTGTTAAAATAAGATGTTGTCCTACGTCATGATCTGTTTCCTTGAATAACAAGACTCACTTGGCTTTTTTAACCACTCCTCTGCTAAATGACATTAATCCAAACCAATGCATGATAAAGATTAAATTCAGAAGTTCCCACAGGAGTAAAAAAAGTGACCGTCCAGTGTCGTGGACATTTACTAGAACAATGACAGATTTCCCTCCTGTAATTAAGATGAAAATCGTTGTCAGTTATAACCTCACCTCCGCTAATTATGATTTATTCTATCTAAGTGATTTATTCACTGTTACACACTGGAAGATTAATCTGTGTCTTCCTTTTCTGAGTGAACGATGACAAGTTTTTGTGTATAAATGCATAAAACATAAATCCATACATGCACAGTTTAAAAATCCATCATAGTTTTGCACATAAAATGTTGTTTGCTCTGAGTTTGCATCCCTGACGCTGATATCTGATCTCTTGATTATCAGTTTTTTTTATTTGCAACCAAATAGACAGAGACTCATGCGATCCTGTGTTTTCACTATAGATCTGTTAGCAACTCAAAATATTTCAGTCGAGCCAAACTGATCAGTTTTTCTTATTGTGGATTAATTGCTTGATTTAATATGCAAAACATTCTCTGGTTTAACTTTCTCCCTCGTGACGATTTGCAGCGTTTCTTTAAACTTATATTTTAAACTGAGTCATTTTATTAAGACAAAACAAGACACAACAACATAGACCAAACAACTGATTTAAAAATAGCAGACAGAATCATTCCTAATTGAAGTCATCATGAGTTTTAATTTTATGTTTACTACAGTTTATTAACATTAGTTTATTTTACTATTAACTCCAGTTGAAAACATCTTAAAATCTTAAAGTACTGCAGAATTGACACATCTTAAAATAATGTGGGCAGAAAAATCACTTCAATTGAACATTTGTTTCTGCAAACTTCACTCTATTGTGGTTATTGTGCATGTGTCGTACTTCAGTCTGACAGCAGGTGGCAGCAGATGCCTAGAAATCCAGAGGCCTGTGTCTCTTCTTCTCTGCTTTGCATCCTGCTGTAACCTGCATATAATTATTTAAAATCTTTTATGTTATTGATGAATATAAACAACCTTTTTCATTTGTGTTATTTCAAACAGCTAAGAGCCAATCCGATTTTTTTCAAGGAAATGTCACAACATGACATATTTTACTTGGAAGTACAGACTGCTTCACTTTTAACTTTAAAGTTTGCATTAAAAAGCTGAAATACAGTTTTATTCAGAAAGTAATTGAGAATCATTTGTCCGTCAGTCGCATTAAAGCGTTTCTGTCGACCTCCTTATTCCAAACATCTGGACATGAGCCAGTGTTTCTTGCGGATTCTCTTCCAACCCTCACAGAACGGACAACAATAGATGATGCATGTCTTATTGTTCCTCTGCTTAAATAGCCTCTGTTGTTGTTGCTGGTCTGGAGGTCTGCCAGATATCTGAATACCCAGCGAACACACACACACACACACACACACACACACACACACACACACACTCTCCAGACTTGTTTTGTTCATTGTTGTCTCAGATGCTTGAAATAACAGGATTGCATTTTCTTCTTGTGGCCGCCTCGGATCTCCACATGAAAAATAATATATTGCGTGTTTAATGTGGAAATGCAGAATGTTTACATACACAAACATGGACGTAATTACTCATTATATCTGGATTGAAACAAAGGCTTTTACTCCCATGATGACACAATGAAGTGATGCCCTGTGGTATTATCATGTACACTGACCAAACAGTAAATGATTGGCTTTCTGTAACATACTGTGGTGGAGAATTACCAGGTTTGTTAGAATCTTTGTGATCAAACAGACTAGTACTCATCTGATGGATTCACATTTTTAAGCTATGGAAATCAGTACTATTGTAGTTATGTTGATGCTTTAATATATATATATATATATATATATATATACCAAAGTCTCATTTATCCCCATCGCTCCTAACGGCTGCTGGTTTCTGTAGAAATTGTTGTTTTGTGATTATAATGTGCATTATATATATATATATATATCTTATATAATTACTTAGTAGATATCTGCTTTTATATGCTTTCTCGTGTCTTTGATCATTATTGAAGAACTATACAAATAAATTGTATAATTATTATTATAGATAACTCATCTGGCTCCACTCAGTATAAATATTATTGGAAATATGTTTTTTGCAGATACTTGTGGTCAAGGTGGAACCAATTTTAATAAGTATATAATATTGTTTTTTTAATATAAGATGTGAATCTGTGGAATTAATGAATTAAAAGTCCCTTTCCCTCTGAAATGTAGTGAAGTACAAGCTTAACAAAGCATGAAAAGTATCTCAAATAGTACTATTTAAGTACTCAATTACTTTCCCCTTTCGTACTTGGTCACTTCAGCAAAAATCCTCCACGTCTCTCCTCTTAAACCTGAACTTTATTTAATATTAGAAAGTCCCCATTGAATTCAATATTTTGAAAAATTAGCAAAATAAAAGCCTCTGCGATGGAACACATCTCTATTAATTTGGAACCGTCTTTTAATTTAGTTCTGCAGCCACAAATGATTTCAGCATAAATTAGACGTTACAAGCACCGAGCCATCAACACAGTGTGGCATCTAAGAACACACACACACACACACACACACACACACACATATACAAAATATAATTAACTCTGAATTAGTTTCATTTAAAGGGAGCGTGCAATATTCTGCAAATCACAGTGGTACATGGTGTTTATTATGAGATTTTTATTAAATGTAATACATACAACAGTACACAGCATCACTCTGGGTTGTGGTATTTTTATGTACGTGCATGGACGCCATCCCAGCGTTTAGTCAGTGTCCGTCCTCATTCACCGTCATGACTCCTGCTGCTAATGGGATTGTAGTGGGGTCTTTTTTTTTATTGCCAATTAGGGAATTGAGGCTACATACAGTGGGTGAGGGGTTAATTAGAAACAACTGAAGGGGTCAGAGGTGTGTGTGTGTGTGTGTGTATATGTGCGTGCGTGTTGAGCACATGTGATCATGAGAGGGCCGGACCTTGGGTAATAGGGGGCGGATTTAAACAAGGATCCTGGAGAAGATTTATCTGGCGGCTGTGACACGGGGACAAATAGTGCTGATAGGTGAAGGCCTCTCGCTGGAGAGTCCAGCACGGATGACAAATAGCTTGTGTGTGTGAGTGTGTGTGTGAGTGTGTGTGTGTGTGTGAGGGTAAATGGGATGCCAGGCCATACTCACTTATCACTGAGTCAGGTTCTTCCCTGAATCCTCTCTTGACATCCAGCAGGGACTCATCGGCTCCTCTCCCTCGCTTCTCTTGTTTTGTCCCGGCCTCGCTCTCTCCCTCCTATTTATCTCTCTTCTCTTTAATACACCCTTCCACCTCCTCCTCATCCCCTCTTCCCTCACCTCCTCTCCTCCAGCGCTCTCAGCAGTATCTCCCCAGCCTCTCAGCTCCCCATATTACACTGCCAGATAAGGGAGGAGAGGGCCCCGACTGACAGGGACCCCAAATTAATTTACAAGCAATGATGCCGCTCCCTGGGCTGATAGAACAGTCTTTATACAATATGAAGAGACGGGGAGTGACGCCTCGGAGCCTCCGCTGGGGAGGGAGTGCGACCACGCTATCTTTGTAATTATAGGGAGAGACCTTGATCCCTCTCTGTCTCTCTCCGTCTCCCTCTGTCTCTTTTTTTTCCGATAAATGTTATAGAAACAACCCCTGAGACGAATCCAAGCTCAGAGCTCGGCGATGAAGAAATCTGCGCTTTGCTTTCAATCCCCAGTTTTCTCTCTTTCACATTAAACTGATCGTACATTACATGGCGCGTTCTTCAAGACGGCGCTTTCACAAGACAATCGTGCCGCAGTTGTTCCTTCCTCCTCAAATCTCCCGCCGCTGTAGCTTTCAACACTTCGGTGCTACGATTCGCCACAGCTCTATGGCCTAATAGGGTTAGCGCACCGCAGAATCTAAAGAAACGTAAGTGGATTAAGGAAATCAGTTTTCCAGTGTATATAGCATTCATTAGCCTCTGCCAACAGTTGATGTTGGACCGAAGCTTTGACTGTGGGAGCCATTCCACCCAGAGTTTTTTGGCATAAATGCTTCAAGGTCCCCTGACAATGACGCCAAAATGAGGTAATAATAAAGGAAGTTGGGATGCGATCACACCGTCGCAGGCTGGGTCTTGAGTCAACTCACTCACTGAAGGATTCTTCCTTTCAGACGTAAATCACGAACTTCCCTCGGCATTGTTTAGTTTTTGCACACGATAAGGCGGCAAGCAAGAGTCCTTCTGTTATTGAGGGACTTGAGTCAGGATATTCATTTTCCAATGTTAATTTATCAGCTAACAGTATTAAAAAACATAAAGATGCAAGATAAAGAAGTAATGATCATAGAATTAGTAACAAAAATCCACCTGAACTTGAACTGTGCAGGTCACAGTGTTCACAACAACAGGAAAATGTCCGGAACATTAAGTTTAGAGGAAGTAGGAGACAGGATATAACGTTTAATTT